TAGACATTGTAATCTCTTAGTAAGTCCTTTTATTTTGGATAATTGCCATCAAGTCATATAATGAAGTTGACAAGCGTTATAAGAGGATGTGCAATGTTTGTCTTAGGAATTTCAATGATCATTATTCTTTTTGGCACTATATCATACGAACAATCAAAAAATGATCCTGGTATATATAAACACTATCAAAATACAAGTTGTTTAATAATAGATCATAAATTCATTACTAGTTACAAAGCAAGCAAGTGCTATGGCGCTCGTAATGCCGCTCCTGCGTGTACGTCTTCAAATGTCACTTATGACAGACTTTCTTTGTCATATATAATTCGGAATGGAACACTTGTTAATAGTACAAGGGATACCGATATCTTTCGACGATCAAAGTATTCTAAAGTATACACTTTCATATTTTTATGACAAATCGAAATAATTTTAATATTTATTTTTTCTTAGATTGGTTCTCATCACAAATGTTTCTACAATCCAGAACATGTAACAGATGTGATCCTGGAACTCCCTAGTGGACCATCTGATTTAACTATTGCATATGTTTTTTTTGGGATTGGTTTTGGAATGTTCGTAGTAGCTGTTGTCTTGTATGTTGGCGCATGCATTAAAGAAAAAAAAAAAGAAAACTTGAACGATTCAAGCCAACATACTCCAATGGAACTGAAGGCGTTTACGTCAAGCGATAAAAAAGAAAATATAAACGAAATAACTTATGTCAACAACAAAACAATAAATCATGCTTAATTTATCGTAAGCAGTTTTTGAGGATTTTTAAGGATCTTCTCTTTTTACAAATTCATTTTCTTTTTTCTTCCCATGTGTATTCATATCATTAATACTAACATATGCGTTTTTCTATATCTTTCTTTAAATGTGTATTATTCTTTGTGGTGTTCTTTTTTTTTGTTTGTATTTACTCTTATGATAGACGTTTTCGTGCAAGCAAAAAAATTCTATCGCAATTTTTACGGTTTTTTTTACAATACAATAAACAAGATGATATCTAAATACCCATTGAGTAAAATATAGAAACATATAGTATGACTTGCGTGAATTTCAAGTCACAAATACGAAGAACGAAGAGCATGGCATTTTTCCCGATAAAACAGACAGAAAGATTCATGTTTTTCAATTTTTGTTGATGATTCAAATGACTATGATTTTATACTATCAGCTTTTTTGTTTTCATGAATCTTATTTAAAAAATATTGGTACTATCCTTGAATGAATAATAATGTTTATCGTCAAGCATATTTATGTGAGAGAGTGTGGGTGATTATAAAAGAAAATATAAATAATACATAATCACGAGTTATATGAGTCATTCGAATTTTCTCGAAACTAATGTAAATAAAAGAAAAAACCAGCCACCTAAAATGAGTAATAATAGGATACGCTTTGTTAGTTCTTATTTATTTTAAAAAAATTCAGATTCTGAACGTGCTCAAAACACATCTACTACATCTAATAGAATTTTAACGGAATAAAATGACTAATTATTTAAGAGACAGTAGTGCATTCATCCTGAGCGCATAGGTATGGGTGCAAGAGCTGAAAAAGATTCACTTGAGGTATACATCTTTATCATCAAGAATCACATAAAAATCTCTGATGCAATAATCGGATTGAAAAAACTTAATTAAAACAAACCGAAAAGAGATTACACATATGATAGTGGCTTTCTCTATTTATTTAAGAAAATAATAATAATAAAAAAGTCGTCATAACTTTTTTTTAAATATCAATGACGTTTTAGAGTAAATAACAAATAATTTATTATTTCGGTTATCTCTTTCTTATTTATTCATAACATATCTTCAATTCATCTACATTAACATATATGTGATATGGATGACCATCAGTTATTTCGAAATAATTCCATTATTTTAAAATATAGAATATTATTTGATTGAGAAATGTCTAACTGAAGTTATTTGAAGATACTCGAAGAAAAATATTGTATAACACAATAGATCTTTATTTGCATTATCATCGTGAACGTTCTTATATTTAATTCCTTATCTTTGTTTTTTTTTACTTTAACATGCTGATGTGATATAAAAATTCATATTAAATATTGTTTACTATATTTGAGTATAGAATCTATGACAGCACCTAAAGTAATCTGAATATAAACAATATTGTTATATAAAATCTTGTCAAAATATTTTTGTATTTTATATAGAAATTTACTAATAAATTAGTTCTTACAGCATTTGCTACTGGTTCAGGTTTGGTATCATTTGGTTGGAGTACTGATTATCTCAATAATACACAAGAAGAGTAGGTGTAGGTGGGTAGTCAAGTCATCTCACACTCACACTCTCTTATATATCAATTTATAGAAGAACGTTTGCTCTAGAAATGTCTAATTTACCTATATTCTTTTTTTTCATATCATAATGAAGATTCAAAATTCATTACATTCTAAATATGAAATTTTATTAAAATGGGTGTAATATTTGATTAGTTTCAGTTCTAGTTTATTGAGATTGAGCTACAATAATTGTTATGAGTGAATAATGATAGTCATTTGACTGATAATATTTTATTAGAAAATTTCAAGAACAGTTATTCCAGTACCAAACTGTTTCATGTTTATTCCATACATCTCATTACCAGGCAGAAAATTTAAATTGTATAAAAATTAAACTATCCAATAATGTTTACAATATTTCTACTAACCTACGTTCTACTGAATTTTGTAAGTTCATATATAAACATTTATATTTTATCTCTTCGAGCTGTTGTGTTAAGATTATTATACAATGCGATTAAAACTAGGATTAGAAATAGATCACCACAACTCAGTAGGAAACATCTCTTATTAAAACATATTTTGCCAATTCCGTCAATAATACAGAAACAATGAGTCGACAACACAATTGATGATGATTGTTGAACAGATATCTGTAAGTCTCCTTACTTTCTAAATCTTCACGATAATACATTGATGAAATAATGGTGAAACAAGTTTGTGTTTATGATACAACTTCTATTGGTGCACTTTCTCTAACAGATCTACTATTTATATTATTCTTTCTTTGATTTCGTCTTGTTTCTTTTTGATTTAATATTCGCCTATTTGTAATTTGCATAGATGATAAGAAAAACTGTTTCTAGCGTGAATTTCTTGTTTTCATAACTAATTCTTTTTTCGTTTTAATCGTAGACATACATACAATAAATATTTTTGGTAAAATGAGCATAATAAAAAAGAAATATTTTGAATTTATGTTCTTTCCCAAGATGTTATTTCATTTCTAAATAGTTAAATAAAGAATCTTTTTATGTCAGACACACCATAAATATATAGTTTATGTAGCATGTGAATTTGACGTCGGTAGATTTTTCGAAAATAATAAAAAATAATCTTGTTTTTCTATCATTATTTCATCAGAGTGAAATTATACACAGAGAACATTTAGATTGGTCAGAATGATTATGATTAGCGAGACGATATACTCATTTTTATGAAAATTACGTTTATGATAGACACTTTTTATAAGAGATATGATAAACCCTGCTGTCATGGTTCGTTTCATCGACAGATTTGCTCGACGATAAACATTATTTTTCATTCAAATACATTAAAAATATCTTTTAAATTAGATCGATGAAAAGAAAAAGCTAAGAGTAAGACATTGATTCATATTATCTGAAGATATCGATCAGTCTGTTTTTAATTTACGAATTTAAATTTCGGCCTCAAACAACTAAAAAAGAATTATTATGAAAAAGCGAAATTATGGTCGTCAGATTTTTGAATGAAATTGAAAGACATGAGTCTTTCTGTCCGTTTTATCGTGAAAAAAGCCATGTACTTTGTTCTTTGTGTTTGTGACTTAAAATTCATGAAGGTTATGCTGTACGTTTTTAAACTTTATTTCATCGGGATTTTTACATGATTTTCTTTATTATATAAAAAAAACCTTACAGAAAAATTCTGATACAATTAAACATGATTTATTGTTTCGTATCGTTGACAGGAATTGTCCTACTTGTATCTTCATTTCTGTCAGTTGACGTGAACGCCTTCAGCTCTATTAGAGTGTGTTGATTTGAAGTGTTCAAAGTTTCTTTTCTTTTCCTTATAATCCATGAGCCAAGAAACAAGGCAAGACATGATATCAGGATTCCAAAACCAATTCCAAAACAAATATATGTGAAAATAAGAGAATGTTTTTGGAAAGAAAATAAAATGCTGTAAACAATAGAGACAATGGAAATTGCAAAGGCAATCGGTGCACATCCACGTAAAAAAGTTGCAAAATCCATTATGTGACTTGACGGCAGCTATCTAAAATAAAAGAATTTAATAAGAGGTCACAATCTCGATGTCTTTATATGTGAATGACTATGTAAATGAATATCGATCCATACACAACACAATATCTAAAATACCTTTATATATAATTTCGATTGTACTTTTATATCATCATGGTTACTTGGTTTTCTCCAATGAAGAAGAGGTGAGCATATGAATAAACGCAACGAAAAATCAACTTCGAAGCATTTTCACGAGCTACCACAACGCGTTTCGATCTAGCTGGCAGATCTCATCAGGTGACTTTCATTTTTGAACAAATAAATTCGGATTCAAATTATTCTGTAGAAGGAAATGACTGAATTTCTTATTATTTGAATATGTGTAATCGAAAATTAGTCATTGATAAATTCCTCCAAACAAAGATAAATTAGGAAAAAACCAAGTATTTACAATGAATAAGAATAGATTATGCGTCATTAATTCCTATTTGTTTCAGCTTTATGTCACGCCTTCTTGAACGTTATAAACAAATTGATGTTGGAGAAAACCGAGTAACCATGATGATATAAAAGTACAATCGAAATTATATTTAAAGGCATTTTTAGCATTGTGTTTGTTAGGGATAGTTATTCATTTACATAGTCATTCACATATACAGACATCGGGACTAGCACCTCTCAATAACTGTTTTTATTTTAGATAGCTGTCGTCAATTCACATAATGAATTCTGCAACTTTTTTACGTGGATGTGCAATATTTGCCTTTATGGTTTCGATGATGTTTATCGGTTTCGGCATTACAGCATACCACCACACGCATGATCCTGATACATATAAACTCTATAAAAATACCAGCTGTCTAATAACAGATCATAAACGCGTTACTGAAGAAAAACGTGTATGCTATGGCGCTGGTCAAAGAACTGGTTGTACGTCTCTAGATGTGACTTATGACAAACTTTTTTTGTCATATATTATTTGGAATGGAACACTTGTTAATGGCACAAGGTATATCGAGTTCTCTACAGAAAGAGATTACTCTAAAGAAGTAAATACTCTCATAGTCTTGTGACAAATCGAAATCATTCTATAATTTTTTTTCTTTAGATTGGTTCTCATCACAAATGTTTATACAACCCAGAACGTGTAACAGATGTAGTTTTGAAACTTCCTGATGGAACAGGTATAACTTTTGCATATGTCTGTTTTGGAATTGGTTTTGGAATTCTGATATTAGCTGGGGTCTTGTTTCTTGCCTCACGGAGTATAAAAAGCGAAAATGGCATTTAATTTATCGAAAGCAATCTTCCCGGATTTTTGAGACTTTCTCTTTTTTTAAGAAATATATTTTTTTTGTTTTCATCATTAAACATCTCTTTTTTACTATTATATGCGTTTTCCTTTATCTTCAATAAAATCTTTTTCATACTTTCTTGTTCTTTCTTTTCCACTAATATGTATTTTTATGACCTTTAGATCACATATTTTTGCATAACACAAAAAAATTATATTACAATTGTTTGTTGCTTTTTTTCCTATATAATAAACAAGATAATACAAAGATATCCTTGAAGTAAAATTTAAAAGCATGCCGCATAGTTTTCATGAATTTCAAGTCACAAATACGAAAAACGATGAATATGGCATTTTTTTCACAATAAAACGGGCAGAAACATACATATTTTTCAATTTTGTCGATAAATCAGACGGCTGTGATTTCATTTTTTCACAATAATTCTTTTCTAACTGTGTGATAACGAAAATAAAATTTATTAATTGAAAACAGACCGATTTAAATCTTCAAATAACATGAACCAGTTTCCTACTCTCAGCTTTTTTGTTTTGATAAATCTAACCTAAAAAATATAGGAAATATCCTTAAATGAATAATAATATTTACCATCAAGCAAATATGTGAAAAAGTAAATGTGGATTATGAAAGAGAATATGCATAATATATAATCACGAGTTATATGAGTCATTCGAATTTTCTCGAAGCCAATGTAAATAAAAGAAAAAACCAGCTACCTAAAATGAGTAAGAACAGGATACGCTTCGTTAGTTTTTACCTATTTTAAAAAATAATTGAAATTTCGAAAGAACTCAAAACACATCTAGTACATTTAATAGAATTTTAACGGAATAAAACGGCTCATTATTGAAAAGACAATAGTACATTCACTTTGAGAAAACAGTTATGAGCGGAACAGGTGAAAAGGATTGACTTGAAGTATACATTCTGTATCATCAAGAATAACATGAAAATGTCTAATGGAATAATCGTATTGAAAAAGCTTAAAATCAAACAAAAAGAGGTTACTTATATAATAGTGGATTTGTCTCATTGAATAATATTCATTTAATAAAATAATAAGAAGAAGAAAATCGTCATAACTGTTCTTTGAATAGAAATGACGTTTTAGAATAACTAACAGATAATGTGTCATTTCTGTTATCTCTCTCTTATTTATTCATAACAAATATTGAATTCATCTACATTAACATATATATCATATGGATGGCTATCAGTTATTTCGAAATAATTCCATTATTATAAAACAAAGAATTTTATTTGATTGAGAAATGTCTAACTTAAGTTATTTTGAAGATACTCGAAGAAAAATATTGTACAACAACAAATCTTTATTTGCATTATCATCATAAACTTTGTTATATTTAATTCCTTATCTTTGCTTTTTTACTTTAACATGCTGATGTGATATAAAAATTCATATTAAATATTATTTACTATATTTGAGTATAGAATTGATGGCAGCACCTAAAGTAATTTAAATATAAATATTATTGTTATATAAAATCTTGTCAAAATATTTTTGTATCTTATATAGACATTTACTAATAAATTAGTTCTTACAGCACTTGCTACTGGTTCAGGTTTGGTATCATTTGGTTGGAATACTGGTTGTCTCAATAATGCACAAGAATCAATTAAACCATGGATTGCTGAGTCATATTATCATCGAACAGGACATGTACTATCACCACACGTACTTACACTTCTATGGAGTACTACTGTAGCAATTTTTGCTATTGGAGGAGCAATAGGAGCTTTTACAGCAAGTATAGTAAGTCGTCGATATGGTAGACGAGGTGGTCTTCTTAGAACAAATCTACTTGGAATTATAGCAGCAGTATTAATGTGTTAGCTAATATATAGTTTTTTATATTTAAATTACTAAATATTTATACATTTAGCTTCATCGAAATTTGTACATTCACCTGAATTATTAATTTTTGGTCGTTTTATTATTGGTATTGAATGTGGTTTATATACTGGTTTATGTACAATGTATTTAAGTGAAGTAAGTCCAAAACATGTTCGAGGTATGGTTGGATCATTGGGTGGTCTTTCGCCCTATACGGGTCTTATGTTAGCTGAAATAATGTCAACGCCTGCTATACTTGGAACAAGTACATTATGGCCTTTAATTACAGTTATAGCAGCTGTTCCAAGTGTAACTCAATTTACACTTCTACAATTTTGTTATGAAAGTCCACGATATTTATTAATGAATC